AATAAAAATATATTTTAAATAACTATGCTAGTATTTTTTATATTTAAATTAGAAAGCGATTAATTATATTTCAGCCATTTTTTCTTCATTTATTCCAGCCATTTTGTAGCAATAAAATTTATAACATAATATTTTAATTACTCATTAGAATAAGTATATTTTACAAAAATATAAAAATTTTTTTATATTAAATAGAATTTTTCTTAAAATATTTACTACTATTAATCTATTTGCTGACAATAAACGAATACCATATTGAATTTAATTCCTATTGATTTGGATATATTATGAATAACTTTTTTTATTTACTTACTATATTTACTTTGTATTTAAATATTAGAAAGATCTAAAATATGGCAAGCTTATTTAATTTAATTATAGGAAAAGCAATGAGTTTGACTGCTATTTGCAGATTTAAATTCATTACATAAACAATGAAGGTTTTAGTTAAAGTTAGTAGAATATTTAAGTTGAAATACAATCTATTTATTTCAAATCTTTATCATATTAATTAAGAAAAGGTAATAACTATAATCAAAAACTATTAAATGTCAGCAAAAAATATCTAGATTAAGTAAGCAAAATTCAATAGTCACCAAACAACAAACCTTAAAATGAACATATAGTAAAAAATTGAAGAAATAGCAAAAAAAACCTAGGGTTGCAGTATCGATAATAATAGAATCTTTATGTTCTTCTAAAATTTTAGAAAGTAGTAGAAACACTCACTACATTTCTCAAAAAAACAACTAGAATTAAAAATTGTTCGATGCAACTGAAGTTAACCGAATGAGCAAGAGTCAGTTTTGAAAGAGTTCGATCTACTTAGGAATATTAAGCATTTGTCCATGTCTTGTTGACGTTTACAATCAATTCTATGTCTATAAAGAAAAGATCATAATCGAAGATTCGGATGTTGATGATGAAAATGAAGAAGAAGAAGAATAAATAGCTGAAAAACCTAAAAAGTAAAATGAAAAATTTAAGTCCTTCTTAGCTAGAGTTTTTACCTAAATTTTAATGCGCACGCTCAAATATCATGGTGTTAAATGAATGGTTTTATAAATAGTTTTGCTTAGAATTTAGATAAGCTCATAATAATTGAATTTATGAACAATTAATTAAAAAAGATAGGAAAGATGTTTGTTTTACTTTTTCTTGTTTTTCAAATCAATTATGTTGACTTTGATAAATAAAGATATTTTTATAAAATTAATTAATTAACAAAATAAATGAATGTACCTTATTCATTTTGTTAATTTCATCACTTTAGTGATCATATAACAATGGATAAATTTCATTCAAATATTATATGAAAAATTAAATTTGGTTATACATTCATTTTTTCATAAAATCTGTATTCTTCATTCCCATTTAATACTTACTTATATAACTATGATTTCATTTAACAAATATTCCTTTTATTTCCTTAAGGTTCATTCATTTTGCAAAAAGTTTACAATTGATCATTCATTCATTCGTTT